TGTACATTTGTAAGCAATCATTGTTGGAACAGAGGTAAATAATAATCACAAAGACTCGCTCTAATGTTGTCCTGTAATGTTGAAAATACAAACAATACATTTCCTGTTGGAGAATCACAAAGAGGCGATGTCACCCATAATGATTTGGCTTACTGATGCATTTCACTGCTTTCCTGGCCAGGAATGGAGGTTTATGGCATCATGTGTTGATATGCTTTGGATATGCACAATATATTGCAAAACATACAAGCCAAATTTATTCCAACTTAGAGAATATTTCAGGAACACAAAAGCAACAATTGGATTTTAGTGCAAACCTTTCGTTAAAAGTGTGGAAAACTGTATTTTCCGTGGTGGAGGAGGCACTGAGAGCTCTTAGAAATTAAATTGATTCATTTTAAGATGATCAGCTCACAAAGTGAGAAAAAGAACTACCAAAAAGTAAACAAACAGAAGAGACAAACAAACAAAAAACAAACAAACAGGCATTTGAAAGAGAAAAACTGATGCGTCTAAAATGTTTCACTGCTGTGGCAAATGCCACAAGTTAGCTTGATTCTAAAAAATATTCTTTTTACTTTAGTTTACTCCTATATAGAGCTTCTGTACAAGCTTCTGTACAACACAACACAACATCCCACAGAATAAATAACTCAGTTTTGTGCTAAAGTAGTGTTAGCAAGTACCGCTAACCCTTTAGCTGTCAGCTTTTCAGTCATTTAAATAAATACAACTTGATACAATTTACAGTCCTTAGAACACAAAATGAACAACTTGAATCAGCAGTCTTGATTAAAAAAAAATGTTTAAACAGAGTAGAGTAATTTCCTCTCGCTAACACTACCGTCACTTTAGCAGTTGTTGCTAATATGGTTGTTTGCTTGTTAGCTTAATGAGCAATGCCATAAGTCTTTATATGGATAACTTCTCATTAGAGACCTTCACATTTAACTCTGATTTCCCGTAATATTGAGAGGATCTTTTATATCATCTGTCTCAATGAATAGCTTACACTTATAAACTATTAAGTTGTGCTTAATATTTTGTTGGAGTCGGTCACGTGTAATGGATCATAACCATAGATTTGGATTTGCCAATGCCAAAGCAGGTTTTACACAATTTTACCAACAGTTCATCGTTTAAAAAGAAAAAAACAACTTAGGTCACAACTGTGTCAGTGTCAAAATGAAACAAATCCAAATGTGTAAGGTATGACAAGAACCAATGTGCCAGAAAACCAATGTATAACACGATGCAGATTGCTCACAGTGAAGAAATCCAGTCAAAAGTCTGTTTTTCGGACCGATTTACACACTTTTCTATGTCCGTCAGTGATCGCTGCTAAAAGTGATGTTGCTTCATTCTTACCAGTAGTTTGTAACATTTAAATGCTCCTCTCTGGGCCCTCATACACATTTTATTTTCAGGATGAAAATGCAGCGTGTTTTTTCACCAGTGCTCGGTTTGCAAGATTATCCAGCTGTCAAGGTTATGTTTTCAGTCCCTCCCGGCGATGGAGGTCCACACCAGTGGGAGGAGGGACGGGAAACAAAGGAAACACTCAACACTTCTCCTCTGAAGAGTGAACTTTCTAAAAAATCAGGACTGCTGAGAAGAAAAATGTGGGCTCTCAGATGTTGTCAGGTGGAGGAAAAAGGAAAACAAACCGTAAGATGAATAATGCAGTTTCGAAAGTGTGGGAACTTTTGTCATCAAAATCCCATCTGTGTCTTTGGCTCCTGCTGATACTCTGTGATTTCCATCAGCAGAGCTCTTTACACATGAGTCGGGTTAATATTTCCAGGGATTTTCTCACTTTTCCGGGTTGATTCCAGAATCTGTTTCCATTACGAGCACTCTGTCCCATTTTCTAATCATCTCTTTTTGCCACCGAATCTCTAACCACCTGTCAGATCAAAGCACAGGATCATTTGCAGAGAACATGAAGCGTCTCTGCATGCGGAAAACCGCCGAGATTCGTTGTTCAGAGACATTAGGAGAGATGGGAAAGAGCTTTCCTGCGGCAGCTAGCAGCGGGAGGGAGAACGATTTAATAACCGAGAACAACCTGTATCAGCGTTTCCTCAAAAGCTCGCTAAATTACAAAAAAAAACTTCATCATAAAGAAAGCAAGGAGTCAGAGAAATAGAATAAAAAGGAAATAATTAAGTGAAATTCAATCTTTGCGGTAGAAAAACTCCGAAATAGCTGCAGGAAAACATGTGTCTCACTTATTTGCATGACTGAAGATGCTGCTTGATACCAGTCAAATGAAATCCCTCATGAAAATGTTTCATTTATGTGCTCATTAGAGTCAGAGAAATGTGTTTGTATTTCATGAATGTTCGCCGGCTGAATGGAATCTGCTCTCCATTAACCTCTCCCCACTGCACTGAATTTGACTATTTGTCATAAAAACACTGGTAAATCTGTTTATTTCAAGGTTTCCAAGCATGCCATATTTAGTTTGAATGAGTCACCTGGTGTTATCCTCTAACCATGACTAAAAAAGACAAATATTAGGCATTGCTCGACTTTTTTTTGTGTTGCAATGGTGATAGATTTGAGTGGTGTAGTACCAGGCAATTCTGTTTTTTCCCCCTTTTTTCGGATGCTCTAAATAAGTTTAAACTCCTGTCTTGAATAGGCAGAATGCTTCAGAAGATTGGTCTCTACAGACAATTGTATGACCCAATGAGAACTCGAAGAAGTACAACCATTGTAAATGTTACAAAAAAACATCTCTGAAGATGATTAGAGGCTCAAATATGGCCCAGTCATTTTTGGCTGATGCAATTACAGCGTAATAATGGTTTAACTGCGTAAAACCATCGATGAATCGTTATTTAAGTGTTCGGTTCAGCTCAGAAAGCTAAAGTTTATTAAAAAAAAGTTCTTGATTGCTCGATTGACTTTTTCCCCTTCTTTTAGATACATCTATACCAAATAACCACCAACTTCTCCATTTAAACAACAATAGCGGCATATTAAAATGGCCATTTCTCTGTAATAAGTACTTATAATGATGAATTGATCATGATTAAAGTTAAACTCTTCTAGCATGAGACTAGATTGATTTTGTTAGTTAAACTGTTGGCATTGCATTCAGACAAATTAATGTTGTTAATTAGCCATAATATTTGTGTTCCCTTTGACATTAGGAGACCTTATAAAGCGGCTGTGGAAGGGGAAATAACATGGAAGGCAGCAGCGGTTTGTTTTCAGTGAGCAGAAAACAGAAAACAGAAAAAAAAAAGGTTTAAAATCGACTCTAGTTACAGTTGTTATGTTTTACAATGGAGCCGAGGAGGGAGCCACACAGCAGAAACAGATCCAAAATCATCCTTTTGACAAAAACTTAACTAAAATCTCTCAATTACAAACCCCCAACCTGAAATAAAACAGGAAAACTTGCATTTTGGGGCACTAAAATCACCACCAGATTATTACTTCCTGGTTGGGAAAAAGGCAATAGAACCATTTGGTTTGGGTTTGAAACGTTAATGATAAAACACTCTTTTAAAAAATGCCTCTGGTTTCCAATTTGCATACTGATGTTACCTATTATTACAGGTTGTACTGGCTAGCATGAGCTAATGAACTATTTAGCCGTATTTGGAGGGACTCAGAAATGTATGCAGCATAAATAAAGTGCTTATAGTTTCAAAGCTAGCTTTGTTTCAGTGTAAAATTATGTCTGTAGTTGAATGTTTTAAAGATTTCCATTTTTTCTGCCAAGCTTAAAGTCAATATAACCAGCAGGAAATATGTTCAGGATAAATTAACCTTGTTGATGCAGCAAGGTAAAAAAAAAGGCGTTAATATAACTTATTGTGCATTCCCCAGGGTGTTAATATTTACAATCATTTCTGGATTTATGTGGATAAGAGTCTAAGATCTAAGATTTGCAGGGCTTACAGTGGATTTAGAAAGACAAATAAACAAGCGCGTGATAATGAAATTCCTCCAAAGTGCCAAACACTGCATCTGAACGTGTGATAAAAGTAAAACTTCCTCTTCATATCAAACAAACATTCGCTAGTTCGTTATAGAAGGTGTCATCAGCCAAATCAGACCCACAAATAATAATGATAATAATAAAAAATAACAATAACAATAATAATAACAATAATAATAATAATAATAATAATAATAATAATAATAATAACGATAATAATAATAATAGTAATAATAATAATAATAATAATAATAATAATAATAATAATAATAATAACAATAAATTAACTGGCGTAGAGAAATCAGGTTAAATCAACCATGAACTAGCCTTTCACAGAGACAGAGCGATATATACCATTTTCATATTTACAGTTTGTGGAAACAGGGATTTGAACGCCTCTCAGGTCCGGCAGTGTCTCTGACCTGCGTCTCCTTTGTGTTTCATACTGCCCAGAGCCATGGCGTCCACCAGAAACTGTGAGTGGCTCATAGTGCAGGATGAAATTCCTCCAAAGTGTCAAACACTGCATCTGAATGTGTGATAAAAGTAAAACTTCCTCTCCATATTAAACAAACATTCGCTCGTTCCTTATAGAAAGTGTCATCAGCCAAATCAGACCCAAAATTATTATTAATAATAATAAAAAATAATAACAATAACAATAACAATAATAATAATAATAATAATAATAATAATAATAATGATAATAATAATAATAATAATAATAATAATTATAATTATAATAATTATAATAATTATAATAAAAAATTAACTGGCATAGAGAAATCAGGTTAAATCAACCATGAACTAGCCTTTCACAGAGACAGAGCGACATAACAACATTTTCATATTTACAGTTTGTGGAAACAGGGATTTGAACGCCTCTCAGGTTTAGCAGTGTCTCTGACCTGTCCCTCCTTTGTGTTTCATACTGCCCAGAGCCACGGCGTCCATCAGAAACTGTGATTGGCTCATAGTGCAGAGGAGTCCTGAGGCTGGACCCCCCCCAAACCCCCCCAAACCCCCCCCAGGCAGCGTCCAGCTACATGAAGAACTGCTTGGGGCTCTCGCTGGAGGCCCTCTGTGAGCCGGGCTGGTTGCTGTAATGGAAATCCTGGCTGTCCTCCCGTTCCACGCCCTTCGCCTCCCGGTTCCGGTACGTCTCTTTCCTCCGGTACAGGAATCTGGCGCCGATGGCGAGGACGCTCACCAGCACGAAAATGACCACGGCTATGACCCCTGGAAGGCAGCGTTCGGGTTAGAGTTCACAGCCACGTTTCCACCCACTAAACTTGTCACGTCTGGGGGAATGTCTGGTGTGTTTTCATCTCTTGATTACCTGTTGTGTTCACCTGGGGTTCCTCTCCCTCATGTGTTTAAATAGTCCTCGTTTCCCATGTCTTGTGTTTGATTTTTGTCACAGCCATGCCATAGCCTTGTTTTCCTTATTGCCATAGCCTTGTTTTCCTTATT